GACTAACCGCACTCCGAGTCTGTGACATGCAACGGCCATGGATGTTAACCAAGAAGACTTCCAGAAAGTGAGATTTCACTCTGCTTTTGTTTTTCACTTAGGGAAATCTATTTGCAATTTTGTAAAACTGTCTGAACTAAGAAACAATTTTTAATATTCAGATGCAAAAAAAAGATAAGTGGATTGTTTTGTTGAAACAAGTTAAATTTGAGGTTTTTTATATTTCCAGAACCCCCTTAAAAACCCTCTCTCCCCCCCCCCCAGGGGACCGTCACACAGTCTGAACAGCACAGCCCAAGGCTTTATATCTGCCTCACAATAAACCATAGCACTAGAATCATGTCTAATTTCTTTCATTTGTGACTCATTATCCCAGATTCCTGAAGAATGAGCTGTTCGCTGACATTTAGCTGCCATATAGCCATAATTTTCTTTCAAGTTATTTCCTTTGCTGGGTACTTTGTGCCTTTCCTTGGAAACAATGTACTGTACAGTTCATTTTGAAGGAGTTGTGGTGGTGTGCAATGATTAAAATTATATTCTTTGTACATAGAATGTGCCTTGTTTATTTTCTTCAAAACCATTCTTTTATTATGCTACTATATTAATATGATCTGAGTCTAACTCATAGAACTATTTATAAAAGTAAAGATTTTAGTAGGTATTTTTACTGAAAGGCTACAACCTTTATTAGTATATTCTATAAACTTTGAAGGTGACACTTTGAGTGTCTGGATTTATTATTTTTGTCTTTTATTAAATCAAGATAAAATAGCAAACCAGTAAAAAAAAGATGTATCCTTGTAGCACCATGATACTGTGACACAGATTAACATTTTGAATGTAAAACATTTATCTCTAATCTGATGTCTTTAGCAGTGAGACTGTGTCCCTGAAAAGTTCAATTTCATACTCAATTCTACAGTGCTATGGTGGACAAAGGCCTCGTCTGTCTCTAAAGGCCATTAGTCCTTCTTGCACTAGTGCCATATCTGTGACTCACACCTTCAGAAGGAGCCTGAAAAATCTTAAGGATTCTTGGCTTTGTGATGTAGTAGAATTACAATGAAGCCTATAATACATCTCAGAATGTGAACATGAGCACCAAGCTTTCCATCCACACAACATGCATCATGGAACAGCTTGGCTCAAATTATACATTTGTTTAATAGAAGTCAGGGTTCAAAAAATATTTTTTCAGTTCACGTTGAGAATTTACACAGCATTTATACATTGCATTTTCTTTTTGTCTCTCTCCTTGTCTTCCACTGAGCTGCCGGCAAGTTTATATATAATAAATCTGAAGAACGAATTGGTACAATAATTCAGCAAAGCTTGATTTAAAGAACATATTTATAAGAAAATAAAAGGAAATACTTATTTTAGTAGCATCTTTTTCATCTTTTCAACAGAGTGTTACAGGAAATCGAAATGGCAAAATATTTTTATTGTAGAAGATTGCAATATCATATGTGGATATATTTTTTCTTTTGACGGTAATTGAGGTGGTTGAAGTGGTCAATAAAATAATACTGCTGTCATTGCAACTAAAACACAGAAATTGCTTGTGTCTCCGTCTTTGTCTGTATAATTTATACCACATTCTGTACTGCATCTGCCTGTAAACAAACACATTGGTCAGGCCCTTCTTATCAGCAGAGAGCCACCACAGGCCCGACCAGACTACAGATAGCAGACCCAGCCCTAGCGTGCAGAGGGCATCCCCACAGAGATCTGGTGCTGAAGACAGGCCATTGAGGCAGGAGAATGAGTTAACCAATAACAGCACAGACCCCTCTATCGGGTGGGCTATTTGCAAAGATTTCCTCTATTGCTGCCTTCTAAACTCTGATGAGATCAGTGGGAATGGCTCGCTTGGAGGTATAAGCTTTGTGATAAGTCTTTTATTTCCTGTGACGGGCATTTTCCTCCTGGCTTTGTTCATTCTAAAGCCCGAATAAGCAGGATAAGATCTAAAAAATGTTGAAAGCCTTCATGAATTCAACACCAAAGCCATTCTTATCTTTTTATAGTATTGATCTGTGTATCTGCAGATTCAACATTACAATGCTCATTTTATGTACTTTATGATGAGCATAAACAGAAACAAAAACTGTCAAATACATTTATTTGTATTTGTGTATATATTCTTCCGGACAGCGAGAGATTTCATGTGTATATTTCCTGCTTATGTATTCTTCCAGTGATCTGTTGTATTTATTTAACCAGCAGGGGACACAGTATCAGGACAAGCTCTATTTATTTCTGCAGAGGTCTTGACAGTAGAAAATAAACAGGAGCTCTTACGAAGCACAACAGTTTGTTACTTTACATAAAAAGTGCAATCCTTGAATCCTTGCAAGAGTTAATATCGTAAGCTTTAGAATTTGCACACACAAAAATATAACAAAAAAAGTTCAAACATATTTCAACTCAAATTGCACTGAATATCTGCAAAGTCTTTATGGCTTAAAATCTTAAATATATGCTGCAAGGTTAATACAAACCGTTGGAGGGATTTAGAATGCCCAGATGAAATTTACATGGACAGCATGTCTGAAATTTAATGTTATTCATATTTTGACAAAGAAAGGACATTTCACTGTAGTGTGATAGAAAATTAGAAATAATACTACAGTGGAGTTTTTTTACTACACGTACAGTAGCAATAAACACCCAGCGGAATCATACAACCGCTTCCTCTATCCTCTCTCGCAGTAGAGCAATTATATTCTGGCTTTTGATTCTAGTTGTTTTTGCCATTCTTTGATGACAAGCTGTTGTTTTAACACAGCTTTTCCTATGAGGCAGCAGGAAGGTTATTTTCCTTTACCTTTGGGAAACCTGAGTGTGTTTTTACTGAGAACTAATCTCACAAGCACCCGAAATGTTGTTGCTCACTTAATCGTTAAACTCAGAAAAAAGTGCAGCAGAAACATCTAAAAATTTATTCTATGTTTTTACACTCTTTCTACAGAAAATCACTTAATACTGATGTTACACAGATACCCAGCTTCATGTCCACACATGACTGGGCATTACTAACAATCTGTGCTGGAAATGCGGATAGAGGAAACCATGAATTTACCATTAAGAAGGGTTTTAGTGAAATCTTACACCAGCCATCCCACTCTGCCCTTTCCCCTTCCTTGGAATACAAGGGATCTCGCTCTCACTCGATTTCTTTTCGAGGTGTGATTCCGAGTGTGTCTGCGGAATTTCAATCTGAAGGTGAAGTTCCCTTCTGTCCACGCACACGCACGAATAAACTGGATAACCAAATCAGAAAACAAAAAAATGCATTTATGAAAGAATGAAATTTGGCTTGGCAGCTTTCGTAGTTAAGTAACATGCAATTATACTTTGAAAGACTATCATGTATTCACAATACAACAAAAGGATTTACAGCACATCTCCTAAACACACTGGATATGCACGTCAGAAATCAATAATTAACACCAGTGTTGTACATGATAATATAATTGGACAGGAAATGTCCTGACATGCAGGGACAAAAGTACTGGACAATAAACAGGGACTGCGAGTCTTAAAGTTGTCATGACTGGGCTCCAGGAATTTTTCCAGAGCTTTCTTACTAACAAAAAACTGGTCTTTACATCTAATTGATTTCACTACTGCCAAGGAAGTTTCTATTTGAACTCGGTAAGCTTAAGAACCTCAATGACTGGCTGGGCTTTTGAGATTCATTTTTCAATTATAAACTGCAAAATTATTCATGTCACTAAACTCACTTTTCCTGTCTGGAATATGTCAGCACGTAAACATGAAAACTCTTTTCCTTGTCCTGTTTTAAAGGCAGTCTTAAGCGGTGCTGAGTTTGGAAGACCTTTTATTAGTTTCCTCACATCTCAGTCTTTGTTCAAGGATATGTCTGGCAGAGCACCCTGTCCTGTTCTAGTAGGCAACAGCCAATCCATGGAAACAGAGTGCACATCTGTGTCCTGTTATACACCAAAATAATTCCTGCTCATTAAGCCCTCTGCCAGATTAAACTGCAGGGCTGAGTGGAAAGTTCCATTCCAAGGTAAACCTAATTGTTTGGGGACTGAAGAAAGCATAAAAAATAATCATTTTGTGTGCGATTTCTGTTTCGTCACACCTGCTACAGCAGCAAATAAGCTGCTCCTATTGAGAAGGTTTGAGTTAGCTGGTATGTTCTAAGTGGCAACAGCATAATTGGGTTTTACTATGTGTTCTGCTTGTCTGCCTATTCCCCAGCTGCAGTCATTTTCTAGAAAAAAGTCCTTGTTAGCAGTGATCTTGCGATGTTGCTTTGCATCGCCCAAGCTTGTTTCTTGTACGGACAAATTACACCAACTTGAAAAAGACATTCCAGAACAATTCTAAGTGCGTCATGTGCCAAGAACAATATACACTACATGGTCTTTGAACTAATGACAATAACAAAGCAAAGTCTAATGAGCAAAAGGCTGGGAAATGAAAGCAAAATCAAATGAAAATTCTTGCACAATTTCGATCAGAAAATCTGACAAAGTATTTTTACTCTACTGTTCTGATTAATAAGTATATGTTATACTAAGCTCAGAAGGCAACACAAGGAGCTCAGCAAATTGACTTTCTTATTTTTTATTACTTATTTATATTTTAATAAGCATAATAAAATTGCATTTATAAAATTCACAAGGTACATGATCTTTAATCAGGGGACATAGTTTACTGAGAATCGTTATATGCAAAAAAATATACAGAAAAAGAAGTGTTAGTCAATAGCATCATTCCTGGTCACTTTGGAAAATAATGGCACAGCAAATCGTGTCAAATCACACCTACAGGAGGGGACTGGTAATAGTGAGGTCTTGCATTGAGGCAGTTGAAAAAAGAGAAAGTTGCAGGGAGACATTTACCCTTGATTTGAAGCCAAACATTTTAATAGAGGAAGTATGTCTTGCCAAAGGTGATAAATCATTGCTGAGGCACTCCCCCTTTTCTCTTTAAAAAGTGGGAGTCGCTTGCTCTCGGTGAATTTAACACTCTGCAGCAGGGCTCAGGCCACAGTCGTGCTGGAATCTTGCTGTGCAGAAGCCACCCACCATGGATCTGAAAGCTGTTGCAGTGACCACTCTCCTGATGGTGACTCTCTGCCTGCAGGAGTCCAACGGTGAGTTTGCTGGGTGCTGCTTTTGCTTGCTTTAGCACAGAAATAGATTGACTGTTTCTGAACAGACTCGAGGATATCTAGAACATCTTACAGAGAGAGGAAGGGATAATTGGTTTCAGCACGGGACATGTTTTGCATCACAAGTTTAATTGATTTGCAATGTGTTAAATATAAAATAACAAATCAGCTGCTTCATACTGTATGCTGTTTTCTTAACAATAGCTGTATGTTATTATTTAGTATTTTTTGTATTTGTGTGCATTCAAACTTAGTCATAAATAAGATTATACTTAGTTATAACGTTGTTAAGTAAAAAAAGCTTTTGTGCTGCCTGCTATAGAATTATCTCTAGTTTTTCTGTAATGAAATCACTATCACTAATGTCTAACACCATCCTGCAGTTCACACTAAATGTCATAGGTTGCATTCCTGTAGTGATAAAATTGGAGAAAACTGTCCAGTGCAGTGTCTATTTTACTAGCATAACTTGTTTTTTTTAGAGGTACAAGACTACATACATTTATACAACATTGAAGGGCAAGGTTAAAACACTTTAAATATGCATGCTTCTAAAGAATTTGCTAGAGTACCACTGCAAAGAATGCATTACTTATTCGTTTACATAAAAGGTGTTGAACAAGAACCAACAAATAGGTGTTAAAATGATGATGAAATACTATTGAGTCTTTACTTTGGTCAACCTTTGTATGGGCTTAATTACCCTGTCATTTACATAATAAAATCACGGAATAATGTGAGAAACTAATTTGCATCTCTCAGTAAATCTCTCCGTCTGGCGTAATGGAGCCCTTTTTAATCGAAGGGCAATTAACACCATTCTGTTTCTGAAAGGGGAAAATTCCAATTACAGTTTCAAAATGGATGTATAAACATCCAAAGAATGTCATTCAGGGGGTCCTGCCTCATTATTTCTAGATACAAGTGCCACAATTCCGGTGCCAAGTCTAAATATAACGGAAAACAGTGTTTCTCGCTTGAAAGATGCATGCAAGTATTTGATATTCCAGTATGTTAAAGGAATTTAGGTTTCATATCCTAACTGCAGAGATTGACGAGAGAATTAGACTGTGTAATTAGAAAACTGAGTTTTTCCATCTTGAGAGATTAATATCCTTTTGAATACTAGATTGCAATCAAGAGATTAAACAATTTGCTTTGTTAGTTGAAATTTTATAATATGAATGTGTCTCTTTCTATTGTTAGTAAAAATATAATTGCTCACTATGTAGTTTGTGTCTCTCGTGCACTAGAAATGTGTACTTAGTTCTTGTTTTGATGGATCATGATCTAAAATAGAATTTCATATTTATTGCCTTATTCATTGTGCAGCTGTAGTCATTATTAGGTAAAGCTCTTGGGCTGGAATCATTGTTAAACAAGTTCATAGGCAAAATCTGTACAGTATACAGTATAATATAATATATATATATTAGTTATATTTTATTTGCATTTGCATGTATTTTCTTTATCAGACCACCTATTAGTTGCTTGCTATGAATAATAGCTTGTACGCAGAGAATACAGGAGTTTCCAATTATTAGAAAGATGAGAAATGCAATATTATCTAGATGAAATGATATTCAGTTTAAATTATTGCTTGCAGAGCTTATAGATTTCATGCATTGTGAATTTGAAAGATCCTTTGGATTTGGATGGCTTATATAATTGATAAATAGCTAAAATGTTGATAACAGGCTTTTATAGCTCCCTTAATAAAGAGCGGGAAATCGGAAATCTGCGGTGAGACACACCTAAATCAGTTGACTGTCACGTTGCTCTCCTACTAGCTTAGAAGAAACGTGAAACAAAGCAGCCATGATGTTGTTCTAGTTTTGGGAAACTGATGTACTCTTGTATTTAAAAAAAAAAACATAACGCATATAATTTTACACAAGTATCATTTTCAGACAGGTGGTCTTGTATGTGAGATATTCACATGAATTTGTCACCCGAACGCGCAAGCGACGCGACAGTTCTCACGATCTCGTCCCGTTTGCCTTCGCAGCTAAACCCTTCAGTCTGGGAGAGAGGTGCTGGTGCCGAGGTACAGAGAGCTTCGTACCCAAGAGCAGCGTCAAGCAGCTGAAGTTCCTGAACACTCCCAACTGCCCCTTCCAAGTCGTGTGAGTTTATAGACTGAAGCAAACCGGCCGCTAACCCTTGACGACTTTGTTGTCTCCTGGAAAGGACTGCGCGTTTTTTTTCCCCGACACATGGCTGTTTTGCGTTGCCCGTGACTTTCCAAGCCTGAGAACGGCTCAGGTGTGAGCCGACGTGGTTAAGTACATCACTGAGAATTTGTAGAGAGAGAGATGTGTCTGCCAGGGCTTGGTACTTAGTCAGGTGCCCCCCACAGCACATTCTCGTTCATTCAGGCTGCACTGCATTAAAGAAAAGCTCACTTTGGAAAGGAAACATACTGTAAGAGTCAGAGAGAGCCCAACTGCAAGCGTGGCAAAAGGTCACTCCTTAAAAAAGCATGGCAAGAGTAAACTTCCTTACTGCTGACACAGGAGTCACAGTAAATGCAGAAAAGACAACCAAGCAGCAGGGCCCTGGGCAGGGTCTCCTGATATCTTTAACCCTGTCGATGAGAGAAACTTGTAACTCTATCTCTGTGTTTGCTGTTGGTCTTAACTTGCTGTGAAGCAATTACTACCCGCTGTCCTTACTCAGGACCTCTGCTACCTTCCAGCTTAATTAGAAAGATGTGCTGCCAAAGACACACACCAATTACAACAGCTAGCAGAAAAAAAAAGACTGAAATCTTTTCTGAGGTGATTTCCTTTTAATTTTTCAATGTTAGTTGTTGGTACGAGGAGTTGATGCTGGTGTTGGGAATTCTGACAAGCGGAGCTCTGTGTTCCACTCAGAAGAGCATGTTTATTTAATGGGTTTGTAAAGGTGCTCTCACTCCCAGCTGCTAAGTGAAACGTGACCTTTTGGCACGGGGTTGTGAAACCCATATTCTGAATGCAACTCCTGTGCTCAAACCTCCCAAATTACAAAGGCGTTAAGAGGCGGCTGATTGCTTAACATCCCCAGGCAAAATATATTTGATAACTCTTGTTCAAGAGTGCGCTTCTGTCAGGGTAACATTAAAGGGGACTTTTAGCTCATCAAATGGAAAACAAATGGGCGCTTGGGGACAGTTCAGGGCGGTGGCTAATTTTGGCACCAGGGTCCTCTATAAATTCTTTCATCTACAGCATTGCTTTAATGCTTCCCATAATTCTTTTAATAATCATTTTGCGATTAAAAAAGAACTCCAGGAAACAGATGTTAACAGTGGAAGTGGCAGTGTTAATCCCAGCACTTTTCTGCATACAATATTTCAGGTTGCTGCACAATTAAGTTTCCCCCTGGGAAAAAAAGGAATGTTTTTTTAATGGTCAATACCCATCGCAATACCGAATACCTAAAGAATCTGGCATCCTTTTAGTAAAGCTTTGCAGTGAATTTACTGCTAAACTGGTTCCAGATATAAGATTTTCAAAATATACAATTGCAGCAATATGTGTTATGATTAGATAAGAGATATAAAGTGAAAAAAAATCTCCTTGCAGGGTGTTGCACAGTTCTGACCTTGCCCATAGTTCTAAACATTTAGAGCCTGTTCTTCAATATACTGTAACAGCAGTGATTTAATCAGACTAACAGGGAACCTCAACACTGACAATATGTATGTGGATTGAATTATGCGTTTGCAGACCTAAAAACGGCTCTACTCCTGGTTGTGTTTTCAAGGATAACAGCTTTGTAACCAAATTTGAAAAGGAAATCAGTAAAACCTGCCTCATCAAGTCTCATGCCTCTCATTGTAAAAACTGTGAACCCAAGATGAGATGTATGGTCACTGAGACCCATGAGACAGTGAATACCCGAAGGAGTGCCATACCGCCTTCTTTACTGAAGGCAAGGAAGGCATTTGCTGGTGTTTCATGCGGTTTTTGTTGATGTCTGAATGAGCAACTTGCTGTACTCTTGCAGCATTCATTAATGCTTCTCTTCAATAGAACCACAGAACTTGAGTTTCTACCCCGAAGGAACCAGCACATTCAGCTCAGTACAAGAACAGAGAAAAGAAAAAAAACCCTCTCTAACCAGAGACCTGCTTCAAAATTTGTGTACTGGGTTTTGACTCGGTTTGTGGAACTTTGTAAATGATAATTTATTATACATGGAATTGAAGCATGAATCTGTTTTAAAATTGTTCACAGGTGTATAGCAGCTACAGGTGACTTCATTTTACATTCTATGGATCCTGAAGCATTTGATAGAGATCTCTCAGCTCCAGTGAAATTATTGCCATGCCGGGCTGGAATGTGACAGTTAATCTGAATCAACATGTTTACCCCAGTTCATCACAGACGGCAGAATGAGGCAGAAAGGAGGGAATTGAGACAGTCTTTCATCCATCTAAGAATTAATCCAATAAAGGGGATTTAGGATGCCTGGATTTTAGTATGCAGTCCCTGACTTTGGTTTTAACTCGGAGCGGAAAAAGTAGAACGCACTCTTAGAATTTTAATTGAATGTTTTTTTCTCATCTGTCTTTTCTTTTTTTGACAGTGTCACGCTGAAAAACAGCAAAGAAGTGTGCATTAGCCCTCAGACTAAGTGGCTGCAGCAGTACTTAAAGAATGCTCTTAACAAGTAAGGAGAAACACTTCTTGGCAAGTAAGAAAACACATAGGTAAATGTGAGAAACATGAAATGAAATACTTGCCTGTTTTCACGTGCACATAAAGATCTTGTTTATTTTATACTTCAAAGTAAATATTTTTAAAGCTTTACTTAAGGGTGAGACAAAACAACAATTGGTTTAGTACTTGAAATAGTCTCCAAATGTTTTCATGGTCCAGATGAGGTATAACTAAAGAATTTAGCATAAAAACCCATGTGTCCATTCAATATTTTTTCATAGAAATATAAAAACTAAAGACTTGCATGACTTTCAGTAAAGTATATGTAAAGAGAACGTCTGTCAAAAACACATACTTGGAAGAAAACCACTCAGATAGCACCCAAGGTTCAGAATTGAATCTTGGTCCCAGAACTGGTAGACAGCAATAGTAACCACTGTGCTACCATGCTGCCCATAATATATGTTATAACCTCTTTAAAAAATATTTCTTAGATTATTTATTTTTTAAAAAATAAGATCCCAAAATGTTCCAGCTGGTCAAAATGGTTCAAATATGAATTTTTAACTAAAATCATAAAACATATTTTATCATGATTGCATTTTGTCACATAAAAACAGGCAGTTGAAATTCGTTGCTGGTATTTCTGGTTTCCTGTTTCTCATGAAAGGACTTGTGTGTGTGGTTATTGTCTGTGGCCTCTTGTCTTTAAAGTACTTTTCTGAGGTGAATTTTCAAACTTTTGGTTTTCCATTTTTTTAGCCTGACATTTACCACACCATATCTTTTGAATGTGCCATGTTCTAAATGTTAGCTGTGTGTGCTTTTGAGCAATGTGTTCTTTTACAACAACACTGGTGAGGGATATTTGAGTTCCCTGTGTTTAGTGCCCCTATTATCAGACAATTTTGCAATTCTTCTCAGTAGGATGTCTTCTCTCTATGCTACGTTTGCTCCTCATCACTGTCAAATCTGCATAGTGCTGTTTTGTTAAATGTGTGACATTTAACCAGATGTGCCATTTTGCAGCTGTTTGCTATTCCTTATCTTGTAGACACTATTAATTAGCATCAGCTTAATTACTGTATATATTTGCAGTGCTCAGTTCAGTTGCTGTTTAATGTTTTTTATTGTCTTTATTTTTTGTGGACAATGCAATTAGTTAGGGCAATGAATTAGAAGATATTGGATTTGTTTTGTAAAAGGGACTATCTATCCCAGAGATTTTAAATATACAAAAGATCATTATACAAAGAGTATGCAATTGTGACTTTTATGTTTAAGAAAGATGATTCTGATCATGTCTCATTACCCTCTTAATACTCCAGACCCAAATGGTCCAAGAACAGTACAGTAGGTGAAAAAGTGTAACAGCAGTGTTTTCGAATGAGCTTTGTAGTTAAAAAAATCTTATTGATAGTACAAATGCAGATATTTATCTGGAGGACAAACTGCAAGAAGTGTTTCAGATCCAAGGTGTTTGCACACTGGAAACATTTAACTGTCAAAAGAGTGACCCTGTCATCCAGATTCACTCTTGTCTGACAACACTACAGCCATAAAAGGTAAAAGGAAAATAAAACATATACTGTATATGAAATACATATATATATATGTATTAGTCTTAAACATCAAGCAGTAGTTACAATACAGTATGTGTATGATAGAATTAGCAGTTCACTCAAGGCCATTAGTATTATTTGCCATTGTCACAGATTTGCCTTAATTAATCCCTTTTACTCTGGAAAAGAAGGAATCAAACTTTTTGTTGAGCATCTTAAAGTACATCAAGTGTTGTTGTCATGAATCAATCAATTTACCAATCAGGACTAATGAACTCATTGTTGGGTGGTCTTCGCCATTAGTCATCTGCTCCCCTATGAAGGTAAAAAATTGAGAAAAAGTTTAAAAAAATAGAGAATCTATCTGGACTAACTGCTATCTGAAAGCAAAATAGGTACAGTTTGGATAGAAGATCTCAATTTCTGCAAGACGAAGAGGAAACCACTGAGTGAAATGGGTAGAAAAATGTAAATTGTCTAAGGCTTTTGCACAGCAGTGGATATACTGTATCATTACAGCCTACTGCCATCAAAAGGCTTCTGCACAAAATAACCTTTCTGCTCTTTGCTGTTGTTTTCTGTGTTTCAGAATTAAAAAGGAGGGAAGATCAGGCAATTAAGGACCTGTGCAGGTTAACAGCCGCTGTCCCGCCCTGCCATGCAGATATGTAATGTGTGCTCTGCTCTGGGCTGCTTCCTGTAACAACACTCAACAACCAGACATGCTTCCCCAGCACTGAACCTGCCAGCGGTTCACTGCCACCCCTAGTGACACTTTTCTTACAAGTGCAATTAGAAATATATGTGTATATGTATAAATATCTATTTTTTTAACCAAGAGGTTTTTGGAGATGTAGCCCTTTCATTCCTCCACACTCTGTCACAAGGAGCTGTAGTTGAGTTTCTGGGCACAGTGCACTCTGTCACCTGCGACAAGCCAGCTGAGCCGAAAAGAATCACCTTCAACGTTTCTGAGACCACCCCCTATTCTGAAAGAGATCAAAATTACCGTTGAGCTTTGCACAAACACAGCGCAAGAGAAACTTCAGCACCTTGGCAGCGAAAGACCCTAAGTCATAAGTATATTATTGGGGATTTTAAAATGTTTTTACAGGAGCCACCTGATTGCAGAATGAGCCCTTTCGAAATTGACCTGAGGCTGGCCGAAAGACTCTGGTCTTAAACGAGCTATAGACAAAGCTGGCCACGATTTAACTGCCTGCTGTGCGAGAGAAACTCCACCCTCTAACCCAAGACCCGTCGCTGACACGACAAGCTGATTTAGTATTCTTATTGAATGCCATAAAACATTAATAACGAGGGAAAGAAGCTGCTAAATAGGAAACAGCAGTGCGTTGTGTGTTGGATGCAGTAAGTGCCTATGCTGTCACACAGTGGGAAGAGGCTGTGCTGTGTCATATGCCACTCAGTGCCAGTGCTGGAGGCTGGATAATAGAAAACAAACACAGAGTAAATCCTGCTTATGCAGAAGATGCTGCAAGAGATATTTCTGCAGCACGAAAATATGAACCAATGCTTTGGCCTTTGTTTGTGCTGGGACCAAAATTTTGAACAGAATTCTGAACTAATTTCATCTAGAGAGGTTGTTTTTGGTTTTTGTTTTAAATGAAACGAATATTTAAAAGGAGAGAATCACAGAAAGGGCCACACAGTTTTTGCTCGCCAATTAGGATGGCGGAATGAGTGAGGGAGGGCAATGAGGAGTTAAAAAGAAGCAGCGTGAGGTGGCCAGTGGCCAAAACTGACAAGTCTGCCGCTTGCCAAGGTCTGTCTCACAGCTGCAGACAACTAGAAAAGAAAAGAAACGCCAAGGACCTGAGGGACCATTGTCAAGATGGACTAAAATGTCCTTATAACAGTCAGTATGACATTGTGTCCCGATACATCGCTCCTTGTGACTTTATATCAACCCTTTTTATGTAAAAAGCTGCCTTCTGGTTACAAAGCCATTGTAGTGTTTCCTCTCAGATCCAGGACCAGTGTTGTCTAGTTGAACTCGGCAGTTGTTTTCTCCAGTTCAATGCACTTTAGAGAAGTATATACTTTACCTTCAGACCAGGCAGTTCATTTTGTAATGTAAATGAACTCTTATACTTAAACAAACAGCAACATTATCTGACTACAAATTATATTTTATATTTCTTTCTTATTTGCCATTTGCACCAGCAAGTATTTCAAAACAATAACATTTTGTTTCTATCCTACTTAGTTAACATTTTGACACACCTCTTTTTTAAGATTGTTTTTGCAAAATAAGGAACAGTAGATTATTTTTGTAATTGTCACATTTTTATACATAGTAATTCTTATGACAGTACAATATGAAGGTAATTCCCAGAATGTACTAGACTGCAGTGTTTTCTATTGTTTTTGTTGCGCAGTTTAAAATTGTGTTTGTCTTTTTATTGAGGAATCTGGAAAACGTCCAGTTTCAAAATGTTTTAAATGATATCAAGCATGATGTGAAATACACTCACAAAAATTAACATGATTGTAAAACATAATATGTGAAACAGTTGAGATGTTTAGTCTTTCAGATGTTAGTCGTAGTCATATAGTGAACAAAATGTGCCCAAAGATTGCTTTTGATCAAAAGTTTGATTGGTCAGATTTTCAAAATTTCTAGCCATGTATCTAGATGCAATTTAACCTACTGTAGGTTGTTAAGTACAGTCCGAAAAAAAAATCACAGAATTTGACCGATCACCCCCAGACAGGTGCAGGATAGTCCTACACTTCGAAAACCATACCTACTGTACCTTATAAGGGAATCATAAATATATCTTATTCCGTATTTCCTGGACATTTATAATTCATTCAGCTGCCAGGTCTCTTTGTATCAATAGATCAGCATTTCATGAGTTTCTTTCCCTGGCCGCGGAACAAGCGACCTGCAGGATGATCTTGAGGTCAGGAAGTGAGACTTGGGATTTGAAGCCCAGGGCTCAGACGGCTGTGATAGGTCACTGCTTTCGCACCCGGTCTCCATTAATGTTCGGTGTTAGTTTCCACTGAGTGAGTGGCAGGGTCCCTGCTCCGCTTAATCAATCAATGCCCTGATTATGTGAGCAGCAGCCTGCGGGCAAACAGATCAAGGAGAAACACACAAGGATCTCACAGCAGAATTTAGTGGGGATTTGACGGCTGGACGGGAAAGAGACTCTGTGTGGCTTCACACAGAGCCGTAGACAAAAATTCAATCCTACCAAAACTGATTTTCCTAAAAGGATTAAAAAGGTGCTATTTCTGTTTTTATCTGAGAACGTCCGCTGATTTAAGGTGCTGATAACAGTGGTATCTTTGTATCCCCCAAATGAACAGGTCTAATGATAACTGAAAAATATCTGGAAAGAAGAAATAGATTTGGGTAAATTCAGTTGTTGCTGGTAATCTGGTAATTACAAAAGAATTTAGTACCATGTTCACCCAGTATTTGGTTGTATCGATGTAGCTGCTAACTCAAACAGAGACAGAGCAGATGACCATGCAGGGTCACTTAAACTGTAAGTTAAAAACACAATCAAAAGCTTTTGATTCTGTGTCTTGGAAGCATTACATGAAACAACAGAAAGTAAAACTCTTGAGTCTGTCATTATGTAGTTTTATTGCCATGATAATTCACTCATGTTTCCTACAGCCTGGCCAAACACACTGTGGACAAAATACATTTTGGGAGGTGAAAGTTGAATTCTGAGACAGGGCCCTCTTTAAACTTAAGTACAAATTGAGTATTATTGCAGGAATTAAATAATTACTGTACTGATATTTTAAAATGTAAAACTGTGATTGTTTCACTGTATACCAATTGTTCAATGCCAATGCTTTTTGCTTGTCTTTCTCCCACACAATGTGAAGAAAAATATACTCTTTAAAGGCAGCTTACTTCATAAATATATGTCTATGTCATTCTACCTAGCTTTTTAATTAGTTTCACTGTTTGTATGCAGTCAAGCATAATACATTTGTTATCTCAATTCACTTGATATTTTTTAAATAAAACTTTTTTTAAAAAAAACATTGCTTTCACTGTCATTTATCTATGCAATAAATAGAAACATGAAGAGCTGTGTATTTAAATTATGTTGTTTTTAAAAAGAATTAACTTGATTTCAAACAATGGTGCTTTGTATACAGTGTAAGGACTGCACTACAGGTTGAGGCTACTAACGTGTCTGTTTTTCTATATCTCTTTTCTAAAGAAAAGACACACACTGATATTGCAACACACTGAACGCCTACATGATCTAAAGTAAAACATTTGCAGAAAACTCTATTTTCCTGCAGATGAAGACACCCCTATATTCCTGCAGACAAGTTTCTACCCCTCGCTAAGCTTTCCTTGAGAAAATGCTGTTTGAGTTTTGAAAGAAACTAAGACACAGAAAGGAAATCGCATCATGTCACTAAGGTAAATATAGCCACTGTTATGTGAAAGTGCTCAAAGACCTGAGCTTTTCGGTCTTTGTGGGATGAAGAGCTGGTTATTCATCCAAAGTTACTGTGTTACACAGGCTGAAACTCGCCAATATTTCAGCACCAAGCCAGAAACTATTCTGTAGTTCAGCTTTCTGCATTGGGAAACTGAAACACCACTTTCTGTATCATATTCTTGGTAGTGCAGTCAATGCAGTACTAAAAGGCCTTCATGTTTTATGAGCTTGTAGCTAGCTAAAACAGAGCAAATACTACTTAACTCACTTTTTGTCACCAAGGAGCTAAACAGTATAAATGTCAATATATTGAAAAATTAAAAGTAAAACACCTTTCTGTTTTCATAATGTATTTTCCTAAGTCTTGTCACTAGTCATTTGTTTTTATTCCAAGACATGCAGCAATTGAAACATATAAGAAGCTTGGCCCATCAGAAATCGAGGCACCTACTGGACTTGAAACTTAACATTTTGACACTTTGTGTGTTGATATATTCACTACAACAGGTTCATTAGACATTCATTGCATAGGGGGCTTCATATACATGCATACAGCTGTCACTATGAATAACCGGGAAATTCACAGCTCCAACAAATAGACTATTAATATTACACCTCTGGGAAGCAGAAACTGATTTTGACAAGTAGAATGATATTCTAAAATGATAGGCGATGTGTTTTCAATTATAGACACACATTTAGAATTCAAATATATTGTTTGGGTGGGGCGGGGGATTGCGGATGGAGGGCTTGAATTTCAGCTGAGCCAAATAAGAAGCATAGGCTCACTTTGCACTTAAAAATCAAGATTATCAATCCACTTGTATGTAAGTGCCCGGCGTCACATTCAGGAACTTCCATGGTGAAATAAGTAAATTTGGTCAAATGCATTAAGAGTTTCAGTCTGTCTAACTAATATTGGAGAATCTCTTGCTTATATGGTTTAATTTCAAATGGCTGGGATAATCCTCTGTGATTCAAACACTTACACCTCTCAGATAAACAGAGCTGCTCCTTTGATGTAATGGGAAGCACGCTTGCTGCAAACCACAGGCTTGTCGGTGTAATCCGACTTTCGTGTTGGAAGAAATTACTGTGTGCAAGTCCGTGGCTGGAAGAGATATAAACCTCTTAGCTTAATATGCGCCAGTATTTTTTTATATCCTCACTGTGGTCGGCCCAAAGAGAACAAAGGAAATGCTGCTTCTGTCATAAGGATTTATGCTTTTCGAGATGAGTGAAACAGCCAATTACCATCCAGCGCCTTGATAAAAAGTGATTTAGAGTGGTTGTGGAAGTGATAGCAGTAATAATAATAGATAACGTTAACTCATTCCAAAGTACTTGACATACTGTACACTGTAAAAGGTACTTTGTACTGTAAGTCTGGCCTTGCAGGTTCTTAACTCAAACAGTTTGCTTGTGTTTTCAGACCCGCTTCAGTTTTTGAATAGTAGAACAAGTTTAACAATTAGTATACCAGATACTTTAGCTTATACTTTACTGGGTTTCAGATCTCCTCTCTCTTAGGTCTGTCATTTGAACCACTTGGCTAAATTTAACAAAGGAGCCCATGCCCTCTGAGAACATTAACTACTGCTGCTACCGTACTAATGTCACTCCCACCAGTGTCTGCACATCACTGATAAACAATAACACCTGTATAGAAAGCTAAAATTCCAAAGTGAACTGTGACACAATCCTACTCACTGTGTTTCTTAGAAATGGCATACAAGAAACCAATTATTTGTGAGCACAAGAGCTGAGTGCTGAAAACAATGAAAAAACAGTCAGTTGGTTCAACAAGTTGAATTGATTGAGGGTTCAGTTAGTATGAAAACCAGAAGAAACAGGTTACACCCCAGAAACCAGGACTGGGGAACACTGTCTCTTTCCCTGTACTAACCAAGCCCAACTTTACTTAGCTTCGGTGATGTGATGCAACGCAGTGGTAATTTGACCCAAAATCTGACCCAAATGTGACATATCAGCACACAAAATGACATTTTTCTACAAAACTGCAATAAAAGTAACGACTCTTAATTTCTTTGTCTCCTGAACTGGAAGGTCTGAATGTGTTTTGCCATGGGTTGTCTTTTTTCTGGATGATTGTTTTAAACCTGCCCCTGCCCCACACCTGATTGGCTGTTCCCTGCTGTTTCCTGTGATGGACGTTGCTCACTATTGGCTGAGCTCTAGCTCTCCTGCTGGTCTGCAGCCCAGTGGCACTGCCCTACTCTGTGCACAGCTCCTGTATGCTCACACACACTTGCTGACTGACAGCACCTTCTGTGGCTCTGTATTAAACATCAACACTGGCTGCCAAACACTGATATGTGAAGTGAAAGACTAAACAAATGGCAGGATCGGAAAACAAACAGTCTGACTGAGAAGTAATTAATTTATAGGTTGTTATTTTTGCATGAAGGAGAGTCACCTTGTGTATTTGTGCAATCATCTAAAAAATGAAAATATTCTGAACAGTAACATGAGACATCAACAAAATGTAATGGTTTCATTATGATCATGGGAACAGTTCAAGGAATAAAATTCTTTCAGGGTTCACTTGTACGTAACATCTAAAGGATGTTTATTAAACAGAGTGTAATTGTAGTAACCCATTAGCAAACAAATACTGCTTGCAAGCAAAATATAGAGGCTGCTTAAAACAAAATGAACATGTTGAACGTTGACCTCAACATTGACATGTTGCATTAGGACATATTTTCAGTCTGAAATGAAATGAACGGTGACTTGTGGTGAACAGATTTGTCATCATACTATGAATAATCTCTCCATACTGGCAGTTCGATTGCAGAACATACTTCTGTGGTTAATAGGTCTTTGGTACGATCCAGAAATTATCTGGAGGAGGTGGAGGCCTGGGAATGGGAATTCCTACTGACTAATAAGGTGAGAAGTAGTCTGATTATCCAAATCAACTACACAAAGTCTGGCTTTCAGTACACACCTGCTCAGCTGTGAAATACTGTGACAGGACAGTTTATCTTCTTTCAGAAACTGTGACTGGAAGAAAAATATGTCTCTCTTCCAATCTTGATGTCTGTGCACTATGGATTCCTATTATTAATCGATTTGTGAATGGAAAGGACATTGTGAATATAACAAAGATTAAAAAGTAATGTCATTTGCAACCACAGCATATTACTTGTATTTGTATTTTTTAAATGTCCATATTTAAAATATTAGAAATATCCAACATAATAATTAGGTTGTGGAACCATCCCGTATATCTATTTAATTTCAATTCTGAGATCTTCCATTGTGTGATAAGAATGTAATCAGATAAACTCAAGATCAAGAATGGATGGTCATTAAACTTAGGTTTGGTGCTGTGAATTAATAATAATAGTTAATATTTGCTTACACTTATCTAGCACTTTTCTGGACACTCCACTCTAAGCGCTTTACAGGTAATGGGGACTCCCCTCCACCACCACCAGTGTGCAGCATCCACCTGGATGATGCGGTGGCAGCCATAGTGCGCCAGAACACTCCCCACACATCAGCTCTCAGTGGGGAGGAGAACAGAGTAATGAAGCCAGTTCAGAGATGTTGATTATTAGGAGGCCATGATTGGTAAGGGCCAATGGGAAATTTGGCCAGGACACCGGGGTTACACTCCTACGTGGATTCACCCAATTAGTGAATTGCCATATGATAGGACAGCAGTGATTATGTATTTAAAGGATGAAGAGTCTTAACAGGATAAAACTTTCTTATACAGTACCTTATTAATTAAACAATATAAATTGGATCCTTTCACAAAAAAAGTAAGTATTCATTATTATTGTACATCAGAAATAGCACTCTGCATTATCAACATTTTCCCTTAACATTTATGATTGATGATCTCCATGACAAATCAAATACAGCAAAGTGGTAAAGGGTGTGTTACTTCATAACTTTACAAGTGCATGGCGTACAGAGATAAGAGTATTAAACACAAGTCAAAATCAGCAGTCAAAATTACAAGTCAAAATTACAGTGGGTGTGGGGTTGTGGGTGGTGAAGGTGGTGACAGCCCATACAGGGGAGAACAAACCATATTGGTTCACTCAGGGTTGTGATTGGCTCATCTCCACACTGCCCCCTGTCTATCTGGACACGCAGACAGACACGCAAGCACACACATCACTCTTCCACCTTCAGAAAGAGCGTCTTTGAAATCTGTTGATGAGCACGCAACTAAAATGCTGATCTAAGGACCAGGGCAGCAATAAAGAGGTAAAATGAACACATGAGCAAATACCAGCAGCTAACAGAAATAAATGAATGTGCCAAAGAACTCTAAGAACAACAGGGTACATTTAATGCCGTTATGAGTTATTTAGCTCGACAAATGCTTTTAGCTTTGTCATGTAAGAAACAGCACCTTCAACAAATCCAGAACAAATAAAAAAGTGCCATGGGTAAATTAAGAGACTCATCTTAAATAAATTCACTTTTTTTGAGCTGGTGGGAAGCTTGTAATATTTTTTATGGAGACTCGCAAAAAACACAATGAATGTTTGTTAAGTCACTGCATTGACACTGTGACTCTTCTTTGTAGGTTCAGCATTGA